TATATATATATATAGCACCCGTTCGTTAAAATAATATTTAGCAATGTTTTCACATTTGACATTTTCCCACATTTGATAATATGCCCCTCCCCGTGAAGAATTTTTTCTTTTTGACAAAATTCCTACCAAATGGGGATGGGGAAGAGTTTTCAAATTAATCTACTTTTTCAAGCTTCGTACACATGTATTAATTTTTTAACGTACAAGAGACAAGACTATATTTATGTCATAAGCTGCTTGGAATACGAGTACTTTCTTATATACATGTACACATCTATCAGAATAACAATTATTTATCAAGTTACTTGACAGGCTCTGAAAGTTGACTCAGAAATATAAATCACCTAGGGTAATACTTCTAAGGTTTGTATTATTGCATAATAAAGTACCGTTTAAATTCACGCATGTATAAGGATCATGTCATACAAAAAAATTTTTTAAATTAAAATTTGTTACATACCTAATCACTAATGTTAACAAAAAAAGATCTCAGCACATCAAAAATGCCATACTTATGTATGAATTGAAATAAAGTTGATATGAATTGAATTTTAATCATAACCTTAGTATCATGAGTGTGAAAACTAATAATTGTTTTTTTGTATAAAGTCTATCTATGTACCTATTAGATTGTGTGAAAAATCGATAAAAATATGTATTCAGAAGTTAAAAATTTATGTATGTATCAGCTTGGGAGGGTCTCTTAATAAAAAAATAATATAAGGCAAAATAACAAAGTAAAAGACTGAAAATACACTTATCGTGCTACTATTCTTATACATATCATGAATTTTTAATTATACAAATTTTAAAGGATACCTTAACTCTGCATATTCATAAATTTTCTATAAAAAAAACATGTTTTTAAAAGTAAAACTTTTTTTTATGCAGTATAAAAATATTTTTACGATACATCAAATGATACTCTTATCTAGGAGCCTGAAGTCTATATTATAAAAAAAATGAGCAGATGAATCATTGACTAAAATCATGCGAATGTTTTATGTACAAACAAATTAATTTTTTTTAAAAGTACATGTTTACGCCAACATGATTTTTATGTTATTTTAACCCACATGACGTCCGATTACTTCCACAATGTCATTAGTTTGTATGATTCAAGCAAGTTATGTCCACTTATATATATATACGTGTATGTGTTAATTTCTTTTCAAAATGGGTACATAAATCTAATATACTTAATCTAATTTAAAACTACCACTGGGGACTATGTCTCATTATATTTTGATAATCAAATAAGTTTAAAAACAAAGTAATATGTATACGTGTTTGTGTGTATGTGTATAATAGGGTCCGTGAAGGTGGGTAGTGTCAGTAAAGTTCCACAAAAATGCTATAGGGGGCTGTGGAAGTTCTGGAAGGGGGGCTAGGAGGTAGTAGCAGGTCTGGATAAGAAAACGATAGAACTTTACATTATTCTGTGGGGGTAGAGTTACTGGGAATTGTGTGAAATACCCCACAAAAACAACTTTATAATACAGTAATATGTACATAAATACTAGTGGGGCTCCTCTCCCTTTACACGCTTCACGCGCTAACCATAGCATCTCTAACTTTGCAAGAGGTTGAAATTTTTTCATTTAGCTTTTTAATGAAAAATTTTTTTTAATAGAAAGTTCATGCATTTTTCTCAAAAAGTTTTTTATTTTTTCATTTTTTTTTGTTTCTTATGGATTTTACAGTTATCTCAGACAAAATAAAACAATATGTTCAATTCTCATAACAATTACTATTTAAAATAGTATAATGACATATTAGCCTTATAATTTTGGTCTGAAATACTCGCATTTATATCACAGTTAGGAACACGCACATAAAAAAAGTAGTTTCCCATAGGTTCTAGCTAAGTGAGGAAAGTCCATGTCTTATATATGGACTTATATTTGTGAGTATGTCTTACCGTCTTACCAAGTTTCCGAATTAAAAAAGCTGCAGGCTAAACCAATTTGCCACCATTACTGCTAGTTTATATGCATATAATATACTATTTACGCAATTACGTAAGTGTGCAAAGTGTATATCTATGTATTTTCTGCCTTTTTGGTCCCCAACGCTATAAATATTTTTGTAATAAAAAAAGAGAAAGAAGTAACGAAAGAGAAGGAGAGATAAGACTGCCAAGCTGATACAGATTAAGCCAAAAAGCCTCAAGTGGGGCATCGCCACACCAATAATCGGTTTTATGCTACTGTATCTTACCACTGGATGTTTCACATTAAAAAATACTTATTTTCGTGTGGCAGTAGCTTCGATTTTTGATTTACTTACAACTTTAGAATTCCTCACTTAATTTTTCTTGTAAGAATATTTTTATTCTTTTGTTCTTTTTTTTGCGTTGTGCAGTTTATTTGTTCAAAGATCTCTGAAAAAGATAAAATCACGTATCAAATTCATTTTTTAATACCTGTAGAACAATTCCTGTCAGCCACATGAGTTGCGTGAAAAAAGTTAATGGCTCATTCTAAAGCTTGTGTCCAGGGCTATTACATGTGATTTAGTGATTTTCTAAATTCTACACAGCGTAGTTAGGATGACTACTAAAATTTCTGGTTTAGCGACTGAATGTATAAAAATAGTAATGATAGTAACGCAATCAAAAACAAAATAGAAACAGTAGATAATAGCTTTAGAGTATATCGTGTTGCTCATTATAGATTTGAGGTTCAAATCTTAATTGTAAAATGGATGATCTTATGTCAGCTTTACACCATTTATTCGGTTTCTCATCATCACCTCTATTATTCTTTGTAAAAATAGTACCTCAGGGGTTTTAGATTACGGATTCAAAGTCTAAGATTTTAAACTAAGAATTTCCGACATAATATGGTCGATTTTAATTTAACAATCAGGTATTTTGGGCAGGCATCACTATCAACCTTCGTAAAAATAGTAACTTAAGAATTTTTAGCTTATTTCTTACGAATCTGAGAACAAAATTTTAAAATGTAAAATGGCTGAATCAGTATTCAGTCTTTTAACTAACAAATTCGATATCTTATCATAGGGATCACTCTTTACTGTAGTGAAAATTGAAATTCGGTGGTTTCAGGGTTGATAACTGCGAATCAGGAGGTTGGAAGTTTAAAATAAAAAACGGCTAATCTAGTATGGCAGCTTGTCATTTACAAATTAGGTACTCTTGAATAGGTATTAATCCCAGTGTAAAAAGCGACTCAGATATATTTTTTTGATTTTTTTACTGAAAAATTTAACTTCATTCTCAACAGATTTGAAATACTTCTAGCACTTTAATCAGGGAAAATTTAAAGGATCTTTATACCAGAAAATATTCTGTACGTTCACTATTTTCAGATTTTTTACATCACATAAGTAACTGTAACAACCTTCAACTCTTTACACAAAGATTTATAGTGGTTCTAATTCACAAATACCTAATTTGGGGATCAAAAGCCAGTACATAAAGTCGGACAATTTGAATTATAAAACTGTTTTTAGACTTGTAATCAGCAACCGGAATCAGATGCTGATGCTAGTCCTTCAAATACTTTATTGGTAAAGTAAAGCCACAATATTAGATCGACCATTTTAAGTTTAGAGATTTCGACCTAAAACTTATGATCAGTAGCACCATAAAATGTCATCTAATTACTAAGATTTTTTTTTTTATTTACACTTTATTAGCATCACTACTACCAATTTCATTATACATGTAACCATCAACGCCAATACCTAAGCCGCCATTTTTCGTATTTTTGTATTGTTTCTAACTTTTTCCACGTAAGTCATCCAGTGGAGGTAAATTGTTTCCTATTCATTCTTACATGTAGAATTAGAATACATCTTATTTTCGACTATTTGCCTATTTTTTAAGTATGAAGTGGGACACACAAGACATATAATGAAGATTTTTATCATTGCGGTATTTTTCAATTATTACTATAAAAAATGAAAAATATTCATAATTACAAAAAAATATTACATGCAGTAGTTTGGATGAGAGTAAACATTTACAAATTCAAGTTATGGATACGGAATATAAATTTTTTGATATTTTAAAACTTTTTTTATAAGAAAAAAAAAGCTAGGAAATTTAAAGTTGCAGATTAACATTACTTATGTTTAGCCTAGTAACAAAAAGTTTTTTTTATATCTAACATTATATAAGGAAAACATTACAACGTAAAAATAATATTTAAGGAAGAAAAAAATAATTAGGATATTGGGAGTTTTAAATATAAAATGTCGTAAAATGGTCAATAAAGTTTAACACTAAATATTTACCCCACGTAAGTTTTTATTATACTAAGACCAATAATTTACATCCTAATTTGAAATTTTCCAGCTTTAGTAACATACTTGACACCTTTAAATGGCTTATATTTTTCTCCGTACATGTCCAACCTGTTCACTTTCAAGCCAGATACTGCTAATTGATTAATAGTGAAAACTACCTGAAAATAAAAATATTTTTAATTATTTTTGTTAAGTCACTTAAAGTCCTTATTCTTTATTTTTTGACGAGTAAACGTTATTTTTACATTAATTTTGAGTTAGTGCAGGTTATATGTTACATAAAATAAGCATATGATCTACCTATATCTTGTTACAATCATAATTTCTATCGCCTCATATACATTGGCAAACTCAAAAGGATCTTCACGGAAAGACCTTTTTCATTAAAAATCCCCTACTACATTCAGTTACGAGTTTTTAATAGCTTGGTAAGGTTTTTTCCCGTACCACGTCTGTCTAAAACCTACGCTCAAGTATGTTATGTAAAACGTAAACACCTACTGGATACATCTATTTTTCATAGCTACAGTTGGTAAGGGAAAAACCTTACCACCATCACTAAATACTTGTACTGATATCTTAAAACCTATATACTTGGCACGAAATTTAAGACCACTTAAGGTGACACTAAAAATTCTTGTGTTAGTAAGCAACAAATATAACGTTGGTGTAGTATTTCTTACGATCAAATATTGTAGTAGGGGATTTTCAATAATCTCGGTCTTTCTGTGTTAACCTGCATGAAAAATAGATATAGTTTAATAAATCAACATATGAAGAAGTAGTTCATGAATGAAACTAACTAAAAAACTTGCATTTCACTTTTTACCTTCAAATACAATATCATTGTGTAACTAGCTACTTTGCTAAGTTCTTTTTTTTTTCTGCTATTGAAAACAATTTTTTTTTTCATTTTACTATTTCACAAAAACTAAAATTGAAATACAACAAAAGATGTTCATGTTTTATGCAAACTCTAATATTTGACGGCATTGCATTACAAACTAGTAAAGTAAATATGAACACTAAAATAACAGTATTTCTCACAGAGGGCACGCGAAAATAAAGAAAAAAAAACAGGATAGTGATCCAGCTATTATCACACTCACCTGGATCTATGATACTTGAAAGTTCTTTGTAATGATTCTCGAAAAAGATACAGTCTAAATGGCTATTTTCTCGTACCTTTACAATTTAGAGGTTGACAGCACCTACTACTCGCATTCTTAGCTACTTAGAAGAGTAAAGAGATATAAATATTATAGAGGTGTATGTTACGAATACATTAGCTGCTGAGAATTAAATTTATAAAATAGATCTTAAGGAAGCAGTCTTCACACAAGACACAAACTAAAAAAATTCCCTTGTTTGACGTTAAAAAAAAATTAATTTGTGTAATACAAACTATTTCAAGAGAGTATGCGTGCATGTGTGTTGAAATAAAGTAGCAATATAGTAAAATTAACAGAACTCATAATATTAAATATACAAGTTCACATACTCAACGCCAACACGCTAAAATTAGAAAGCAACCCATAGCGGCCAAAATTGACAAAGATAGAGTATCTCTAGGGTTGATACTCTAATATTTAATGGTCAATAGGTACTTATAATAAGCGTAATTTGCCTTTCTCAATGTAACACAGACACTTAGCACAAGTTTTTTTTTGTATTTAAAAGTCTTGAGACATGATTAAGAAATTAATCTAATTTTTCTGTCCTAATAACTTATACTATCAGGTTAACAAAATAAATAACTGATACCATTCGTCAATCTCAATGAGAACTTCTCAGATTTGAAAAAAAAAAATTTATGGATAGCAAAAAAAGGTATAAAAGTATTTTAGCTTGCTTGCAAATTGCTTCTTTGCAAATATTTTTTGCTATACAAAATATGTAACTCAGTATCACCTTATAAATTGCAGGTTATGTATGAGATGATATTATGAATTTGGGAGAGTTAACTTAATTCGTCTCGCAAAAAACAAAATTTCTAATAATTTGTTTGGACGTTCGAATTTAATTTTTTTTTTGTGTTGTAATTAAAAAAAACCTAAAAATCTAATGTTATAGGTAAACTGCAAACTGCACATCCATTGGTTACTATGACAAGGTATATAAAAATATGAGTACAAAAAGTTTTTTTTTCCAACTTTTTTTTATACAATTGATTGTTTAATTAATTGCACTTAAAATTAAACTAATATCACTAAAATAAAAAACTTACAGCAACCAGTTTCACCTTGAAAAAAAATTAATATGTTTCTTTAAAAATGCTGTTAGCAAAATTGTCATTTGTTTCTGCATGACGGTTATTAAGATATTTAAGTTATTAGAAGTTGCAAAAATCTGAGATTTTTCAATTGCTTTTATCAAAAAACGTAAGTTGTTAAACTAGTAGAAAAACTTATATTTACAATAACTTGAGATATTAAAAAATAACGTTAGAAGTTATGAAAACAAACGACATTGATACATATCATAGTTAAACCCTATAAGAATATGCGCAACGAATGCTACCAATTTTTCACAATTTTTACAGTTTTTTAATGATTTTTAAAAGAAGCACATGAAAAATCAGTGATTTTTGCTACATGAATCTTTTGTATCTTAAAAACAATCGAGTAATAACGGAGAATAATTTTTTTACAGCTTTTCTCAATTAAAACAAGAATTTTTCTCAAAGGCGCGACTGGTTGCAACACATTTTTTTTCAATTAAAAAGAAATCCGTTCACGCTAATCGTTTGTATATTTCAGATGACATTTTTTTCAAACACTAGTGAATACGCTTACTTTAATGCTATCACCTTTCTATTCAGCTTATAAAATTTTTTTTTTACATTTTTGTCCCCACCGTCCATTTTAGGATTATAAAGTAGGCAAATAAGTTTTCAAATTTCCTCAGGAATTCTAAAATCAAGAGTTATCTAGTTGCTTTTTTCCGACTAAAATACGCATTATTGCTTTTACTATCAAATTTTCTGATGTACATACATTATTTTGTAAGAAAATATGATTTTCCTTCCTCTCAGAAAAAGTTTTTTCAAGTTAAGAATCAAGGTTGAGTACTCTGGTAGAAATGTCTCTCACTTTCTCTCTCTCTCTCTCTTTTTCTGTCTGTAACTATACATGCGCACGCACGCCGTGTGTATATATGTGTAAGTGCACGTGTGCAATCAGATAATAAGTGATACCTCAGAGTTTCCTTCAAAAATTTAAACCCAGGCTTTTTTTAAATATTCGTATCTACTAAAAAATAAAAATTTAAGGCGTAGTGAGGTAGTGCTTCTTCTAGATTCTGATGCTGCCACTGGAGTTGGTGTTGCTGATGTGTAATTTGGCAGTCAGGATCGAGCAGTAGTAAGCACCCTATGCTTGTAACTGTAGGGGTGGAGATGTAGTGCACTTCTGATGAAATCCGACGCTAATGCTTCCCTGAGTGTGATGGCAGTCAGCCAAAAGATGATTATTTCTTGCTACCATGTACTTAACAATATTAACTAAATACCTGTTTAACTGGCAAGATATATTTTCTCGGACACCCAGCTCGGAATAAACTTTCGCATATATACTTTAAACTAGAGCCACTCTTTAACGGATCTTATCTCTTCCACGGTCATAGCAACACTGCTAACACGAGCACCTCTGTACTTTACTTCTTGTACTTTGAGAGAAAAATCTATCATTTCAGTCGTAGTGACTCCTTTTACAGTGATCTAAGCCCTATCTGGCTTCAAATTAGTCCTCATCTTCGTTAAGACTTTGGCAAAGCTCTGCCCTTCAACAATCTTAACGAGAATTTTTTCCCCTTTTTTTCTGGCATTATCTTGTTTGCCTTTGTTACTACTATTGATTGTTATCTTAGGGACAAGCTTTTGTTTTTTTCCAGATTTTAATCCTATTTTAAAAAGGGAATTAAGGGTCTTCTTCAGAGCTTTTGTTCCACTTGCCTGTTAACACGCTTTTCACGAATCCAGATTGAATAGACCATGTGATTCCCATTTTTTTCTAATTTGTAATAATAGTAGTGGTAATAATAATTTTGGCAACGATAATAATAATAATAGTTATAAAAGTAGTAGTAGTAAT